CAATCTTTATGTGTCTGGGTAAAATGGGTGTGTATGTAAAAATCATTCTCATCTGTGGAGAAGAAGAAAGTTCCTCCTACTCTTCTTTTGTTATTTTATATATAACTTTTCAATGTATCAAGTGTCCTTCAAGTCCCAAATATATTGAGTGCCAACAAAAATGAAGATGCCTTTTCACAGCTGAGGCTTTAAGTAAGCAAGAGCCAGTTAGAGGTACTTTGGGGACTTTCTAAGGCAGGTTTGTTCTTCATGAAACACTGGATACTGACATTTGAAATAAAGTGACATTTCTTCAGCTTTGTGGCATCAAATAAGTATGCATTGAGTTGAGCCTGCATTCCCATAGCTTTCTTCACATTGCAAGCAGTAGGGAAACTGGAACTACAGAGAATTCATTTAAAGAAAAAGAAACCAGACAAATATTGCGTATTCTTATACCTAAGAGGAGTTTCATTTCTCTCCTCTACTCTCTACTACATAGTTGGAATCCAGCTGCCATTACAGACAGAAAAACACCACCCGTGGAAACAGAATAAAAAATGTGAGGCCCAACATCACAAGTGCCCAGCCCTTCTACACTTGCAGGAAATTGATCATGATTACACGCATCTGATCTTAATGGATCGTCCCGGCTCTGAGCCCCAGGGAGAACAGCCAAAAGAGGAGAGGAAAAGGCAGCTCAAGATTTCTGCCAAAATGCCAAAATGCCCTGAGGAAGAAATTGTTTCCTCAAGTTAAATCTGCAGATGATTTTAGCCTTGTGTCATGGGCGAAAAATAAGTCCATAATGTTAATATCTAATTCCATATATGCCTCTGGGTAGTGGTATTCTAACCAAAGCTAGTTCCCAAGTTTTCATTTCATATCCTCAGAAAGTTAACATTGTTTTAAATTCCATTTGGATGATCATGCAAAGGACAATGAAAAATCCATCAAGCATTCAAAAGAAAAAACAGAATCCATAAAAGCAGTTGTGAATCCAGGTTACATAAACTCATCAGCTAATTCCAAGAAATGTTAGATGCCATGAAAAAAGTTTGTATTTTTCAGGCCAAGGTTAATTTTTCCAATTAAGTGATTGTCACTCTCTTAAGAAAGATGGATGTTTCCAGAATAAGGAGGACATGCATTGTGAATTCTTTCCGCATTATGAACTAAAATGGATTTGTTGTTGTTCTTTTATAGTATCTCTGTTCTTCATTTTGGCTTGGAGATAGAGGGCAACAATGTTCACATTATATATTCCTTCACTATTCCTTTCTCTGTATGGTATGAGTAGAGGCATATAAATTATATTAACACAGGCTCCAGTTTGAGCAATTTTGCCTGGGAACACTTAAAAGTAAAATAAAATAACATCCTTTTACAAAAAAGAACTACTCTTTTGCTAAAGAAAATAATTAGAAGTAATGGCTGTACAAGAAAATGCCTTTGGTTATAACCCAGATGGAAAAAGTGGTTCAAAGTTCTTTTGTGTTCTGCATATGACAGTAATAGAAATTTGGACTTCTTTCCTGATTCTGAGAAAAGTGTGTTGGAAACCGGAAAGAAAAAATGAGGGAAAGGATCTTGAGTTATAACGGGGTATGAATGTTCTAGTGGCAGCTGGGGCTAGAGAAGGACAAGACTGTTAAGAAGTTTCTTGTGGTGGGAACTAAATCAAAGTTTCTCTAAGAGCAAATATTTTTGTGATATTTACCTTAAAATTTTAGGTTGTTTATGCTGTATTCTCCATTGTCTCCAAATGTTCATTAAATATCAATTGTAAATTATGGACTGTGTCCTGGAGCTTTGTGAGCTAAGGGAAAAGGACAAGACATTTTGGCTCTAAAGGCGACTAGCAGCAAAGTTGGGGGAGGCTGCGAAGGGATAAAGTAGTAGCTATTATTTCTACAGTGAATTTGTTTGATGTGGATATATATTATGTACTGTTCTTCAAATGAGACGCATAGAGTCACAAGACAAGGTCAGACTGCAGGGTAAATATACAGGCAGTAAGCTAGAGAGATAATTTCCAGCTTGATATTCTCCCCTAAATCATGAAGAGCCAGACCTTCAGATAATATTCTCTGGGAAAATCTAATTCCCTCCCATGTACTTTCCTAAACTTAAAGCACAAAGAATTGTATCTCTCAAATCACTGGTTCAAACATAGGCCAGGCTACTAAAAGTATGCTTTGAAAGAGATCCTATTTTCTGATTTGGTCTTAGTGGAAGAGTGTGCATATCCCATCCGAATTCATCATCTGACTCCCTTGCTTAAGGAACAGTTACTATGATCAGTAACTCTAGAGTTTTCTACCAGGGGAAAGAGTCTCAGTTCATGGGATTAAGATCATTGTGGAAGATTATATGAACAGAGTGATATGTTTTTATTGATGCGGGTTATATACATGTAAACTACATTTGGCTCTTCATTAGTATTCATTTTGTAGGTATTCTTATTCTATTTCCACAAATTTCTGATATCAACAAAAATATGCAGATATTATATCAATATAAATAAATACGTAATTATTTTCAGCAGACTGAAACATTTCCAAATAGAATTTAGGGAATTTATAGAAGGAAGGCTGATAGATTTACAATATTTTAATATTTCAGGTAGTACAGTACGTTTTAAATAGACATTAAGATATATAGGAAAAACAGCAGATCAGATCGATGTATTGTGGTACTTGATATGGTAATTCTTTGAATTTTGCTTTTAGAAACAAATAGGGTCTAATAGTAGACATTAATATTATTAACCACCAACGTTAGATAGTATTTATGTAGATTCATCCTGTCTGGCAATTCCACCGTAGGCTTTCTGAAGCTATGGTGATTCATTGTTATATGAATATATACGAAAAAGAAATCTCTTTAATATTTTGTGACAGACTATATTGCAAAATTTAGTATTTACATTTGTAGTAGCATCTTTATTGAACTTGCAGTAATTCTCTTAATTGTACCAACCCGCAATAGCAGTGACTTCTGGAAGTCTTGTTTATGCAATTATTTCAACCTTTCCAGCCACAGTTACAGAGACCTTGAAATATGCTCCTCACTTTTGCTTAAACTGGTTCAAGTTTGCTAACATTGAACATTTTCACTAATTGGCAGCAGGTGTGGAATCATTTATAGCAACTCAATTTCTAAGGCTTACAAAAGAATAATGCATTTAGATTAAGAAAACAGGCATTCAACGAGAAAAAAAAAATATTTGCAACAAAACCGGCCTCTAAAAGAAGATACGGAGGGAAATTAAGGGGAACTCATATGAGATCATTTCTATATTTGAGTGAATGTTAAAGCAACACATCTTCTATTTCATCTTATTCAAAGACATAATCCAGCTTGGACCTGCATTAAACGTGTGTATGAACTGAAGCAGGTCCAAGAGAGGATGGATGGATGGAGACCTTTGTTGTCTTTTCTGAAGAGCCTGGAAAATCTGAACCGTATATAAGACTAACCTTTTATCCAACTATTTGCAATGTTCTTTCTGATCATTTCAGGAGTCCTTAACCTGAAGCCACATAGCAAAGTCTATATTCAAGGCAAATATAATATCTGACAGTTCTGGAATGTTCTTTTTTCTCTCCGGGATTTGCATGGGTATTTTCTATGCCTAGAGTATTTTCCTCCCAATTGCCTCACCTCTTTACCTAGCTAACCCTATTTTTTGCTGGGCACAGAGTAGGCCTACCATTAATACACAAAAAAATTAAGAAGCTCCATTTAGACATACATCACTAGTTGTCTTTAGCCTTGCCTGTCACAATGGCTCATTCACTGTCCTCAGCTAGTCATTTCTGCAGAAAATTCTGTTTCTCAACAGAATTCAGTTTAATCGCCTTTTTTTTTTTTTTTTTTTGGTAATTACAGCTATCACTTGGCTATAGTAGTTCTTTTTTTCTTTTTTTTTAATGGAGTCTTGCACTGTCGCCTGGGCTGGAGTGCAACGACACGATCTCGGCTCACTGCAACCTCCCGAGTTCAAGTGATTCTCCTGCCTCAGCCTGCCAAGTAGCTGAGATTGCAGGTGTGTACCCCAAATCTAGCTAATTTTTTGTATTTTTAGTAGTAAAGGGGTTTCACCGTGTTAGCCAGGATGGTCTTCATCTCCTGACCTGGTGATCTGCCCGCCTCGGCCTTCCAAAGCGCTGGGATTATAGGCGTGAGCCACTGCACCCAGCCTCACTTGGCTATAGTTCTTAAATCTCAGTTGTGATGCTTATTATAATTGTTTATCAACATGGCTTTCTTTCTTTTTAGCTCCTGTAAGGTAAGTTTTTGTATCTCATCACCCAGCAAGATGTTATACACACACACACACATATATATATTTATAATAACCTAAAACACATATATATAACACATGCATATATGATGGTGACACTCATATATATAACATATTTACACAAAACATATACATAAAACGTACGTTAGAGAAAAAACATGTGTGAGCATGTGTCAGGTAGTTGTATTCAACATACTCAACATTTATTAATTGAATTAAATTGATGCTAAGAAATTATATTAGCTTATTTTTTATTGCCAAAATATTGCTATTAGTTATCTTTTCCTGAGTAACAAATTACTTGAAACATACCAGCTTATAACAATAAATGTTAATTCTATGAAACAGTTTCCTTGTATCAGGAATTCTGCATTCGCTTAGCAGGATGGCTCTGGTTCAGTTTCTCATGAAATTGTATTAAAGATGCCTGTTAAGAAAGCAGACATTTGAAGGTTTGACTAGGGTGGAAGATCTTCCAGGATAGCTTCCTTACCAGGTTGGCAAGTTGGCATTGGCTACTGGTGGGAGGCCTCAGTTCCTTCTCATGGCGGCTTCTCCATGCAATGACTTGTGAGTGTTCAGGGTCCGGTAGCCAGCTTTGATGCTAGCCTCCTTTAAAATGAATGATACTAGGGAAAACAAAGGAGATGTCACAATATCTATGACCTAGCCTAGGAAGTCACACACCATAATTTCTGCAATATTTTATTAGTTACACAGGTCAGTCCTATTCATGGTGAAAGGGACCAACCACGTCATGGTACGGATAGCCAGGTGGCAACTGCTGTGGATCATCTTGGAGCTTGACCATCACAATATGTTCCCACGGTAAGTTGTAGGGAGAATGTTTTTAAAAAATACCCTCCCAACTCAATTAATAGTCACTGTTGTTAAATATTCAGAACCTATTGTCCAATTTTCTGATTGTAAAAAGACAATACTGAAAACAATACATGTAAAGAGTACTGCCTTAGGACAAAATATTTGGTCAGCAGGTTATTAACTGTGTGTGTATGTGTGCATGTGTCCTCATGCTCAAATACCTCTGCTACACAATGGGAACTATCCCACTCTGTAACCAATCATTTTCTCTTGACTTTTCAAAAGATGTATAACTAAATGGATTTATAGCCCCTTCCTCCCAAACAAACTCTTCACATATATAAAGAGAGGTTATTAAGTATATTTGATACTTTTTAATTGATTTGTTTTATATATAAAATGCAACATACAGACACACAGACACACACACACACATATATATATAAAATAATCTCTTTTTATCTTATGTAGTCCATACAAGAAAGAGGCTACTCTAGTACTGGGAATAAAAGAAAAAAACTAGGAAACAATTTTATCGGTTTAATGTTTAGCTTTATATTTAATAGGAAAAAATAGATATCTCTTTATTTTTAACAGGAAGTAGGTTACTGAAAGGAACATTTGGCTTGAAACCAGAAACATATGCCTGTTTATTATTCCTAATTTACCACTAGTTATATTTTGTGGGTACTTTTTAAAAAATATTTCTGTGTGCAGTTTTTCACTATCTTCATAATCCTGGGAAAATATCCCTTGTCTGGGTTAGCAAATTTGACTCCTCTATGATTGTACTGGAGTTTTGAGGAATAAACTATGGCCATTGCTATGTGGTTTAAAGTATCAATGCATCTTAATTCTAACAACGAAATGACAAAATAAAAATACCGTCAACTACAAATTTCAGGTACAATTAGAAAATTAAGTAAATAAAGTAATAATTAAAAATACCTTTGTAATTTCATGAAATTTCTATGAAAACGTTTTAAAGCTAAGGCTCTTTACCACACAAACTTATGCTATTTAAAAAAAAAATAAGTTACAAAACCATGATATAAACAGCACATGCAAATAACTCTGCTTTAAAAATGCATGTTTTTGCAATTTGCTAAGGAAAGTTTTTTAAAGTGTCTGAAAGTAATATACTGCATGAGCACTAACTTTTAAACTTGAAGAGTGAATCACACTGAATTACAATGGGTGGTGCTTTTTTGGATACAATTTAGAATAAACATAGATGATAGATTTTCATAAAAGTTATGTTTATAGCCTTTGGATCAGTAATCAGATGGAACAATTCTCATTCTTACAAAATAGCGATCACTTTGGTGATAGAGAGCAAAATTAACATCATGTACTCGGTTTTTTGATTAAAAATAAAGTCTCTTTCTTCTCTCACATTTAAAAAGAGAAAAATTAAACCTCACAATTACTTCCTAGGGTGTTATCAGTATATGGTAAAGTGAAACAATTACAAGCAATAGTAATATATAATGTTAAATGCAAGTGCAAACAAAATCTTGGTGCATACTGGACAACTAATAAACATTTGTTGAAAAAAATCAATAACATTTTTTTCGAAAGCCATTTGACAAGAAGTTAACACCTGATGTTTTATTTGCAACTTTAAAATAACTTATAAATTCAATGTTTAATAAGAACAAATATTAACTGCTTTGATAATAGTATATAATTATTTTGCAAATTAAGCCTTAGAGAGCAATTTAAGTTGTTGTTTGATTGTTTGTTGATGAATGACCTACTTATTTTCTTCCATTTTGTTCCTCTGAGAAGAGGATGGTAGAGAATTGAAGAGAATGTAGTAATGAGTGACAGCTCATCATCAAGCCTGTTCTTTTCTTACTGGCCCCGAAGTTGGACTTTTGCAAACTCCCTTGCAATTAGGTGTGATCACGTATCTGAGCCCAGCCAAGGAAATGTTAGAGGTTAGTTCATTGTCTGCTGTGCCTGGGACTGACTCAAAACATCTTTCACAGTCCCTCCTACGTGCCCTATCTGTCTTCACAAGTTTAGTCATCTTAGAAACCACATGTTGAGGAAGACAAAACCAAAGGTGAGATCTGGCCTTGGAATATCCACTTGAAGGAGTGGGTACCCACCAACCAAAAGTGCAATTTTAGATTTCATTTGGGTGAGGTGAGAAATAAACATATTGTGTTAAGCCTGTAAGATTTAGGGTTTGATTTGTTAGAGCAATGAGAGCAATGAGCAATTCCCTGACCAAATGGTGTGAATTATTTTATTTTAGATCTAAAAGTAAGTTAGTACAAATCCACAATCATGCTTTGAGTTATTCTGAACAAGATTTTTTTTTTTTTTGCCTAATTCAAATTAAGCTTATGAAGATCTGTAAAGTTTAGAGACGGGTGGATATTGGTTAGAATGAAACAGAATGGGAAAACATGGCCTTGCTCTTATGGTCACATACAGGTTAATATGAATATTTTGAAATATGACAGAAACTCATGTTTACAGCATTTTCTCCTCTTTAAATGAGACCAAAAATAATATGGAAGTGGGAGACTCACTGTCCTTTTTAGCATCCTCAAAATATCAGACGCCCTTTAATTTTATACATACTTTTGTTCTGTATGTTGAGAGGCTTAAACATGTAGATGGGAAAAAATGATTAAGGCCTGTGTGTACATGGAGTACCTGCTGCAAGAAAGAAAAGTGACAGAAGGAAAGTGACCTAAAATATCTCAAAAATATGGATATTTTCTCCTGTATTTTGAGAACATTGTGAAAATCATAGCTTATTACACTGCAACTAACTCAGCGATGCATACACCTACTCAGGTTATATATATATATACAAGAATGAAAGCACCGAACTGAGGTAAGAGTGTTTGTATCTACAACGTCTTCCAGTTAATTTTTTCTTTTATGTTTTGTAAGAGACTAGGCTGCTGCTTCCACAAACCTTCTTTATTCCCCGTGTCTTCTTTGTTATCAAACTTCAGTTTTGTTCATATATGAAGTGAAAAGTTCTTGATCTGATGGAGAATAGGCCCATTCCTTTTTTCTATCAGACCAATGAGGTATTAAGAAGTCAGCTGGGGGGATTCTGGGGAAGATTTTCCCTTTCCGATGAAAGGATGACTCGTGCCGAGAAAACCTCTGCTGAACATCCTTCCTCTTTCTTCTTTGATTGAAGTGAAAAGAACACAAGGTTTGGAGCTGTTACAGCCAACTAGGAAGCATGATAGAAAGGTCAAGAGAACATGTCAGTGCTATGTCTATTTGGAAATAATGCTAGCAATGGCTAATCTTAGGATTTCCGGTATTTTGAGAGAAACCCTGTATTTTAACACCACTGCAGCAGATGTGATGGGTGCCCTTCCATGCTCTCTACCACTATGCAGTATCCTGTTCTACTTTCCAACTGACAACACATATTTATTTCCCTAAGTCATTTCTCAGTCCTCTAGATACCCAGTTAGCACAAATGCCACCCAGTTAGCACAAATGCCCAGGGAACATTGTCATCCCTGCCTCTAAGAACAGGCCTAATGACAGAAAGCAGTTGGTGTATAAATACTTCAGCTCCATCCCTGGAGTGGAATATCATGGTTTGCACTAGTGCCCAGAGTTTCTCAGCACCGCTAAGCTCCAGATAGCTGCAGTGGTATTATTGCCTGATAACAACCCTTACTGGCTGACTTCCCATCCTGGTCTCACTTCCTCACTCTTTTATTGGTGTTTTCTGGGATCACTCCAAAATAAACTAACTGTATTCTAGCCCTTGCTTCAGGGTTTGCTTCTGAGAAAATCCAAAGGAAGGCAGCCTTTATGAATTTTCTGTTACTGGGAAAAGATACACATTTCCAATATGATTTTCTTCTTGAAGATGTAAAGGATCATTCTAACAATTGATATTATTAATTATAATGCAGGGTGTTAGATTTTCTTTTCCTCATGTTCTTTCAGTGTGATTTGATCTTAACTGTATCTTTGATTTATGATTATATACATATCTGTTTATCAATATAAGTAAACATTTTGTTTAAAATGGTATTTGGCTAGCATCCCCAGTGAAAACTTCCTTATTGCCCACTAAAATACCTTTGAAAGAAAAAACATCAACTAAGAAAAAGGGAAATTAGAAAAAAAAATAAAAAGAAAATAACATTAGGGTTTAGTACTGACAGCTTAACACCTAACTCTTGAAAGAATTGTCACTTATTACATAGTAGATGAAAATAAATTTTAAAAAATGAAATTAATGGAAAGTGTTGCCTAGGGCTGCCATAACAAATAACCACAAATTTACCAGTTGAAAGCAACATAAGTTTATTCCCTCGCAGTTTGGGAGATCAGAAGCCCTAAATCAAGGTGCTGGGAGTGTTGGGTCTTTTTTGGAGGCTCTGCAGGAGAATCTGTCCTCTGTCCTTCTCCTATCTTCCAGTGGTTGCCAGAGATCCTTGGTGTTCCTTGCTTTACATTTCTACCTCTTTCTTTGCACAGTCTTCTGCTGTGTGTCACTGTGTCTCAAATCTCACTCTCCTTACTTTTCAGAACATACCAGTAATTGGATTTGGGGCCAGCCCTAAATTCAGAATAATGTCATCTTGAAATTTTCAACTTTATTACAGTTGCAAAGATTCTTTCCAAATAAGGTCTTATTCAGCAGTACTGGGAGTTAGGACTTGGACTTAACTTTTTTGGGTAGACAACTCAACCCACCACAGTGATTAAGAGCAAAGAGAGATACATGGAAAAACTAAACATCCAGTAGCAGAACCTAAAGGTGAATCCAAGGCAGAAAACAGCTAAATAAGATAGGTTGGGAGATGACATCAGTGAGTATGATGAATAGGAGAAGTGCTCCCAAAGGAAGGGAAAAGGATAGAGTTCAGATGTGATAAAGAAGTAATGGAAAGCCAATCTTCGAATTATAAGAGGATCTGAAGAAGCTCAAGGAGAATACAACTTTTAAAACAGAAACAATACTCAAGGACATAACCGAAGAAGAATTTTCAGAATAG